CAGCATCAAAAAATAGAATAAACAATATAGCACATGGCTGTATATTATCTATCCCCCCCCAAAATAAGCAGCATGGATTTATGAAAGTAATACCATTATGTGTGGGAGTGGTTAGAAAAGTCTGGGCTCTAGGAAAGGAAAATGATCTGAGCTATTTGGAAAAGGAGTACACAAGATGCTTCTAGACAGGAGACTGTCTAATTCAGAGGCAAATAAGCACCAGGTCTTTCCTAGGAGACTGTAGAAAGATGATTTTGACTAATTCAAAATATTTGCAAATAAGGCTGTTTTTATAAGTTATTCAATGCCTTGAATGCTACACCGGAGATTTTAGGCTTTTCTCACAGACAGCAGTTGAAATTATTTTTTTAGTTGATCCGGTTTTAATGATTTGGAAATATTTATACATTTGTTTTAGCTCTCTGTGGTAATTAATTGCATTGTTGTAGCTTTTTTTTTTTTTGCACGTGTGCTTTATGGATTTTTAAATACAAAATAAACATGATTTTCTTCATTTCAAATGTGAGGTCTTTGAATTCAAATGGTGTTTCCATTTAAAAGGCATCACATCATTGGAGAAGGTATAATGTAACGGTTAAACATAAGGACTTTGAATAAGGTACTCTCGGTTGGAAGCCAGTATTACAATGTTACCCTGTATAACTATGGATAAGCTGCCTAACCTATATGAGCCTCAGGGATGATATAGTACCAGTATCAAAGATTTTGTTATGAAACATTAATACTTAGATGAAAAAGATCTAATATCTAGTTCTAATAAAGTAGAACAACGTATGAATTGTTCTGCTTTAAAATGTTGAAACCCTGTTACTTTCCTCTAATATTAAACATGACTATTTCTATTACTTTAACATAGTTGCTTTACATAGCTGATAGCACACCTATATCTTACTGTTATTTATGCACAAATTTTAAACTATGTATTTATATATATCTGTAATCTGTTGCCCATAATTGCAAACCCCCCAAAATTCAGAAAAGTATGTTTATAGTCTATCTTTATTTCACTTAGTGTTAGTATTTTTTTGTTTATTTATTGTATTATAAGACTTTTCCCCCAGGCCCTACTTGGGAGTATTATATAACCTATAGTATGCTATCTTTGTACAAACCTGAAAAATTCTGAAATTCTCAAGACACTTCTCTGATGCCACAGTTTTTAGCTTTTAGCAAGTGTTTGCTATATTTTTGAACCTTCATGTTTCTAAAGGTAATATTCATGTTTAAATATTTTACATAATTTTTATACAAAATAAAAGGGAAATGTTCATCCTGCCCTATGACGCAGCAACACCACTCCTTATCTAATATGAAAACATATTCACACACACAAGAAAGCCTTGTTTGAGAATTTTTATAGTGGCTTTATGCAGTGTCCCCAAACTGCAAATAACCAAATGTCTATAGCAGAAGAGTGGATAAATAAAATACTACTCAGACATTACAACAAATGAACTATTGATACATGCAGCAATATGGATGAGTTGCATAAATCTTATGATGAGGGAAAGAAGTTGGACACAAAAAATTATATATATTTCCATTATATGCAGTTCTACCATAGGCAGACTAAACTGTGGTGTGGTAGAAATCAGACTGGTGGTTGCAGCTTTGAGGCACAAGGGGACTTTATGGCTTGGTGGAAATGCCCTGTGTCTTGATGTGCTTTCATCAAAACTAATGGAATGTTACACTTAAGGTCTTGGGATTTTGCTGCATATAAATTGTATTTCACTTTTTTAAATGATTTAAAAATATAGGGCAAATACTTAAATGAAAAGTTATGAGATTCCAGACAGTCACTTGAATTCAGCATTATAAAATACGATTTTATGACCTTATGTTGGTTGCTTAAGAGCAGTTTCTTTTGTTACAAATGAAAAAAGTCAGTGTTCCATCTCTGCAGAGATTGTTCTTGTTGAACATTCTCCAAGATACCTTGCGAAATGCCTTAGAAGTGAGATGTGTAACTTCAGGATGCCATATTGATCAGTTGTTAACTTTGAGAAAAGAGGAGAGGTCAAATAAACTCCTGGTCTGAAGTCTGGGTAGTAGAAGCTCTAGAGCTTCTGGACTATGTAGAAAACAGTAACAGGTTTTTTTTAATCTGAACTAGTATTTGAAATAGAGGTGGCGTACATCTTTAACAGTGTTCTGGCAGGTACATAGTGCCAATTTTATTGTCAAAACCAGGACAGTAAGGTTGAAATGACCACTTCCATGCAAAAGTAATTCTATGATGAATCTGTCGTCTCAAGACAAACAGCGTCATGCTCTGAGTAGTGGAAGTGGTTAGGAGGTGGGAGTGATAAGAACGTGAGAGTGAAGCGAATTCTGGAGTGAGACCACCAGGGTTAGATGTCAGCTCTGCCAACTAAATCCTGTACTCTTCTGGGAAGCATTAGTGTAGCCTGCCATAATGAGCTATAATCCAGTGTAGTATAGTCACCTCCATGACATCATTATGGCATACTGCACCAACACCTCCTAGTGAAGGCTATACTGCTCTGATTTTTATTGGGGTGATCTCTGCTCTGTTTTCAGTCTTCTGTACCGTTCAGAAGACACACATCTGTGCGCACACCCTGGTGGGCACACACGCATTTCTTCCATCGTCTCTTTGTCTTTCTCCCATGTTGGACAGTGCATCACCAGCTGAGTGGTTATTTTATTATCTAAAAAACGTTCAATTCAAGCATGTTTTCAAGCACTTACTCTCTCTGCACAAGACTTTTCTTTCATCTTTATTTATTCCTTGTTGGAGGTAATTTTGCCCTTTTGTTTGCTGACATTTTCAGACTTGCACTAGTACTTTCTTACTGTGGAAGGTGGCTGGAGGTGTACCTATTATTGCTTTTCTTTTAATTTTTTTTATTTGTATAATTTTTAATACTTTGGGTGTTCTTCCATTATTATATGTAGGTTTAAATTTGAAACAACTTGATAAGTTAATTTTTAGTATTATTAGTTTTTAGTGAACAAGTTTAAGCAGTTTTATCATAACGGATTTCTAATTCTTCCCTTCCAGTAGTAGCTTACTTTTTTTTTTAACAAGTTGTTTCTGTATCTTTCAAGGAAATCACATTTATTTATTTTTTATTCATCTTTGTACAAGTTGATAGGGGTCAAGGAACCAAGTATCTTCTCCCTGTGCTTCAAACAGCTGAGCTATCTGGCCAGCCCAAGTTCTAAAAAAAAAAGTTGGACACATTAAACATTGTCTTCATGATGTTTTCACTTATCTTTTTACTTAATTCTTTGTGATTTATTAAAGGCCCACTCAGCGATTCTATTTACTTCAAATTGTAGTAACTATTCACTGCTATAATGACAAAGATAGCATTTTGTGTATCGTTAACAGTTATAATAGAAAAGCAGGACTGAGAAGTTTATCACTTGTCCTAGACCTGCCCTTTTTTTGAATCAGGGAGGACCAAAATTATATCAGGAAAATGTATCATTACTTTCTTTTCAGATATTAAGTCCTGAGGATCAGATGGTACATAAAGGTGGGGACACTTAGTTCCATCTGTACCACCGTCTTCAGGGATGAAACTTGAGAGAAGGACCTTCATCTACTCCCTTTTGCTGTGGCTGGTTAAGTTTATACTGTAGGACATAGACATTTAAGATTTGGAAATAAAGATTTCTCATGCCATTCATTTAAAAATAAGTCCTAGCAAATAATTTGGGAGAATGGGTAAATGGGGGTTAGGCTCTATTCTCATAGAGCTTACTTTGGGAGTGGTGATATCCATCAAACTATAATTGAAGGCAGAAGCAGTGTTATCTAGGGATGGCCCCTTGAGAAGGTAGCATCAGGTTGAAGTGTGTGGGGATAGGTGGGTGATTTGGAAAGAGGAAGGTGTATAACCGTGTGCAAAGGAGCATATGCAATGAGGGAAATGGTAGTATGCACAGGATGAGTAATGGGGGGTGATCTGGTTAGATTTATAAAATTAGATAGGTATATGAAATAGAAGATTAATGGATTTAACTTGAGAAGATAGTTTGGGGCCAGATCATATTTTTAGATATAGCAAAAATCCATGAAAGAGTTTGAGATGTGAGAATGTTAAGAAACATTGAGATGAAAGTTGTGTTTTGGGCAATTAGTCTGGCCCTTGTATGTAGATGAATTGAAGGACAGCCACCATTAACCGAATATTTTAGTAGTTTTGTGGCTACATCAACAATGACTAGAACAGGGGTTACAACAATAAATGGAAAGAGTGGGGCAAATCCAAGGTAAATGGCCAAACATTTTGGTAATGAGAGATGATACTGGTTTGTCTGTCATTGTAGCATAGTTGTTTTTAGTGCCCCTTTTTGCTTTCCAGTGTTTCCTGGTTTGGACAATAAATCATATGGTGAACTTAAAGATAGAGTACCATAGAATTGATAGCACTTGCTAATTAGACTGGGGGAGTGGATAGGGATGGTAGCATAAGAGAGCCAATTATACAATTTTTAGAAATTCTTATGATTATTATAATTCCACTAAATTTTCCTTTTGGGAGAACTAAGTATAAAATTCCTTTACCTGAATACCACAATTAAATCTTATATGTATAAAATATGTTTTGTGCTTTTTTTTAATGAATACACTTCGTTTAGGATTATTCAGCAAAATGGGAGATGCTGAAGAGAATATTCTATACTTAAACTTATCTAACATTTTCATTTATTTCCATCTAAAAGCAAAGCTATTTGAGAGAACTTTAATAAGTCAGTGTAGCTTACATATTTCAAGTAGAAATGCAGCCAGTGGCCATTGAGAATACCCTGTGTACCACCAACATGCCATCACTGAGAAAATGGGCTTTAGTATGTCAGCGCCTTTTCATTCCCGATTTTTTTTTTCCATGATTGAAACAGGTGGCTGTAGTCACATAATATCTATTTTAAGTGTGTAGCTGTAGCTGTGAGTTATGTGGACGATCTCAAATGCTTACTGCTCTTATGTTTTCCGTGTACAGGCAGAAGGAGAAGACAGCCTGAAGAAGATGCAGCTAATGGAGCTTGCGATTCTGAATGGCACCTACAGAGATGCCAACATTAAATCACGTAAGATGAGACTGAGGCCCAGGGTTACAGCCATCTCAGATGTTTTGTCTGTAGACCTTTTTCCTTTGGCAGCACAACACATGAACAGTTAAAGTGAGGAGTTCAAGAAATTGTGTAACTTTATATGGGACTGACAGTCCTATTTTTAATGTTTTTGTGAATTGGGGACACGCTCTATTTTACGCCAGCATGTCTAAGTTTGGGGTTTGAAAACTTTTATTCTGATGAAATTTCAACCTCTAGGGCCAGCCCGTGGCTCACTTGGGAGAGTGTGGTGCTGATAACACCAAGGCCACGGACGGGTTCACATCCCCATATAGGGATGGCCAGTTAGCTCACTTGGGAGAGAACGTGGTGCTGACAACACCAAGTCAAGGGTTAAGATCCCCTTACCGGTCATCTTTTTAAAATAAATAAATAAATAAATAAAAAATAATTCAACCTCTAAATTCAAGAATTTCAAGAAATTTCCTGTTCAGTTATCTACAGTTTTAAGGCTTTCAGCTTTTGTTATATTTATGCAAAAGACAAAATTATGAAAGCTTTTTAAAAAAAAAACTTATTTGAAGTGTATGAATGAAATGACCCTCCTTATTGAATTCTTTCCTTTCGCCTTGCTTGCATGTTTCCCTCCAAATTTTTTCCCTATTGATTTTATATGTGAGTTCACAGAAATCAGTGGGTGTTCAGCCCTGTTGTTTTGTTTATGTGTATCTGTGCATGTTTTTATAAGCTATAGGAAGATTGCTTTTTTATATTTAAAATGAAATAATGTAAACTTTGTTGTTCGAGGTAAAAATCTAAGGTTTGCACGTGTCATTCATATGGATATATCATATTTAAATTATTAATTTTTTTAAAGAAATAAAATTTAAAGTCCTAGCCAGCTTTCCAAAATGTAGGCAACCCAGTGGGCTTAGAAGTAGTTACTTTACAAATGGTTGACATTAATTTACTCATGAGAATGAGAATATATCATTAATAGTCATGAATTTAGTCATCTATGAGGTCCTAAAGATGCAGAACATTTATATATAAACCTAGTGGTGACTTGACTAACCTAATAAAAGGAAAAAAATTGTTTTAATTTGAAAGTGAAGCTACACTTTTGAAATTTGCCAAAACTGTTTCTGTGGACTCCAATTACAAATTTTTTCCAAAGATCTTTTAATGCAAGTGTTTCCTTGTGCTTCCGCATGCACATTTAGTCTCATGAAAGACATGGATGTTTCAAATACATGAACTAAAAATAACATATGTTAATGATCTTATTCATTTATTTTACAGTGGCTTTTTAATTTTTGCACATTTACTCAATCACATTGGGATAAGGGAAAGCTGTTGGCATTTTATTGGTGTGCTTTGGCATTTTTGTGTGATCAGCGCATGTACTAATGATTTCCTTTTATTTTTCTTCTTTTCTGCTTTTTCCTTTCTTTTTCCTATCCCCTTCTCATTTTTCCATATTTTATACTGCTATCTCTATATTTCTTTCTAAATTTCTTTGCTTACTGTAGCAGCCCTTGCCTTTTCTCTTGCAGCAACAGCCCAGGCTGCTCCAAGGATCATTACTGGGCCTGCTCCTGTTCTCCCACCAGCTGCCCTGCGTACTCCTACGCCAGCTGGCCCTACCATAATGCCTTTGATCAGACAAATACAGACCGCTGTCATGCCAAACGGAACTCCTCACCCAACTGCTGCAATAGTTCCTCCAGGTCCCGAAGCTGGTTTAATCTACACACCTTATGAGTACCCCTACACGTTGGCACCAGCTACATCAATCCTTGAGTATCCTATTGAACCTAGTGGTGTATTAGGTAAGTTCTCTCTAATGTTAATGACATTCTTCATAAATTTTACTGCCCTGGATTTTGAGATGATTTTGTCAGTTTTAGAGAGGCAAGACAAGTTTACTTCCATTAGGAAAAACAAAACTAAATTTTAATTTTGTTTCACCCTGTCATAAGGGTTCCCCTTTTAAATAATTGCATCTTAAGTTTTGTCAGATTCGCTTTGGTTGGCTAAATTTGTTATGTACATTTTAAACAAAGTACTTTTCACATTTGACATTGCGAGATTATTCTGAGTTTAGGTCCTATCCCAGTAGCCCATCGCCTCCATCACCTCCACCTCCCAGATTTAAATTCTTTTGTCTCACAAATTTATTTAATGGTCAGCTAAATTTCAAATTTCTATGTGAAAGAATGAGATCTTTATAAAATTTATAACATTGTATGTGTTTTTTAATATTTGTGATCAGTTCAAATATGAAAGGGGGCAGATAAATAGTTGCATTCCTAAGGTTTTTTAGTTTTTGTCTTTTGAAGTCCTAGTTAATAGTAGTAAGTACAAAATAGATGAGTAAATTCCAAGTCACTGAATTCAGAATCACACTTGGAGCAAAAATTAAGATCATGCTATAAACGCTTGGTTTTACATGAACAAAAAGTGGTGTGCTCGAAAAAGACATTACTGATGCCTTTTTTTTATAGAGTGGATTGAAATGCCAGTCATGCCTGATATTTCAGCCCATTGACTTGCTGGATGAAGGACTAGAATACAGCAGCTGTTATAACACGACCAGTCAATGTGGAACAAACTGTTTCTGTGCAACCCCTTTGTTTTATCAGACAGAATTTGAATACGTTTTATTTCCTGAATTGTATATGACCTTGGTGCTGCGTGCATGCTGTTGACTTTAGGACTTTTAAAGTTTTTTTCCCCAGCACTAATAGTGATTTATAAAAATTTGAAAGTCTTTATGAACATGGACACCAGGATTTAAACTCGAAAATTCATTGTTCAATTAAAGAAAGCCACAGTGCTCTGTATGTTATCTGTGTGTGTGCATGCATTCAGGTGCCTTTTGTTTTATGAACAAATACATTTTATTGTATGTTTTTTTCATTTATCTCTACATCATTGTATAAATTACAGGTCAGAATTATACCACAGAACTGTTTATGAGAGGCTTGTTTCTGTTGCACATTTCTTGAAGCATTTTAAAAATAACCTGTAACCTGTAACCTTGTTTAAGTTTTCCTTTCTATTAATACTCTGTCCTGTGGCCCTATGCATGCTCCTTCCCTCAGAACTCCTCTCTGCTGCACCCACAGCATCTGTTCCCGAGGAGTTATGACTCTTGACTTCCTGCAGAGCTGGGGCTCTTAGCCACCAGTTGCCGTTCCAGCACTTTCAATGCAAGATCTCCCTGATTTTGCCACATGGAATTATACTTGTGTATGATTAGCTTATCTAAAATGATGGACCAGTTTACTGCTTAGAAACAGCAAGAGGCATTGCAGTAAAATTTGTTTCTCATTGTAAAGCAACATTTTTTTTTTGGTAAATTTTTATTTATAAGAGCCTAACTATTAGACTGGCAAAATGAAGAGCAAAATATGCAGATACCTAATTTGCATTCATAAGGTGAATAATAAAGAGTACTAAATGAAAAAATCTGTTACAATCAATTTTATTTCTTGCTCTGCCACCTAAGCAGTAAAATATGACTGACCACTTGCAGAACTGAGAAAATTATTTTAAATTGCTAAGTTATAGTAAATTTGCACACAGATAACATGCATGCTGTATATCAATTCTCACATTAAATCATTTTAAAATAAGCAGTGCCCTTCAAAACAGATGCAGACATGTGTGTTGGTAGTAGTGAGGAGGAGATTGGTATTAGCATCAAATCTTCATTGATGACTAATTTTTAATTCCCTTCCTTTTATCTTTAGGTATGGCTTTCCCAACGAAAGGCTAAGAATTCAAGAACGGTCTTAACTGAACCCTCATCAGATCTGAATTTAACAAATGCTTAGTCTCAGCAACCTCCGGGGGAAAAAAAGCTTAGCCTAGCAGTCAGTGACTTACTTGCACTTTTTGCACATAGATATAAAGTAAAATTATGTTATTAATTTGGTTTAGTCTGTAATACTACAAAGTAATGGTAATTTATAAAGGAGTGTATAGTAGTATACTGACTGCTAAGTGTACTATACTGTTTGCTTTACTAATCACCTAATTCATTGCAGTTCATACTTATTGACTCAAAGTTTAAAACCACAATCTGTAGGCTTTAAGAATTGCTTTTAAACCTTTTTAAGTGATAAACTCTGGAAGTGGTCTTAAGGTTAGCAAGTAATTGTCAGTATTAAACATGGCATTATTTAAGTAGTCCTGCTGCAAGAAAGGCACTTCAGTGAATATGTGACTAGTAAAGCTTAAATATGTTTGGATCTCTTAGAGTTAATGAAATACTGTAACTTGGGGATTGTAAATGAATGGATAAAATAGGTTAAGGCCAAGATGTTTGAAATGAATGCAATTAATAGATGCATATATATGTGACATACTATGGTTAATTTTTAAACTACTGTGCCTTAACATGTTTCTTAAAACAAACTTTTGTAGTAAATGAACGTTTGAAATCCATTTTGATAAACCTGCTGTTAATGTGTTTTTTTCCCCTTGCGAATGTTTTCTAACTTTGTCTTGGTAATTGCAATTTAACTAGGTGCGGTGGCTACTAAAGTTCGAAGGCACGATATGCGTGTCCATCCTTACCAAAGGATTGTGACCGCAGACCGAGGTTAGTTTAGTTCTGCAGTTCTTGTTTATAAGAAATGCGTTGGGTGTCCATAAAATTTGCAACACCACACCTGATGGAAAAATGTAACTGCTTACCTGCACACCATTTCTTTTCCTTTTCTAAATTCGTTTATAATAATTGACAGATTTAAGGGGTTGGGTTTTTTGTTTTGTTTTTTTCTCCCTTCATTTTTTAACTTATTAAATATTCTATCATTATGTACTATGATTTATTCCTACTAAAACATAAACTAGTCAATTTGGGGAGCTATTAAATTTTGATGTTGCCTTAATTATTTTTCGGTAATAACTTTTGCTAAATACCTTTTAATTGTTCTGAAATTTTGGGTTGGTATTGCAAAATAAATTGAACGGATGGTGCTTTAATGAAAGAAGTAAAGGAATATGTGCCTCCTGTGTACTTTTGGAGAAAACTGAAGATTTAGTTTCCATTTTTCATTATAATAAAATATTTGAGCCACTGTATAAACATGATGGTGTACATGTCAAGTACTTAGCTGAAATCAACAAAGTAAGGACTGTGAAGATAACTTTCATAAAATAATTCCCTTTTATTCTTACATTCTCTTGCCAAAATGGATCCTTTGATTTTTGTCATTTGCTGCTAAAATATATTATCTGAAGGTAAACTATCTCTTGCGTTCTTTGATGATACAAGATACAGTTGTTTGAGTATCCTTTTTTCTAACCTGTGACTGACTGGAAAATAAGTCTTCATTTTTCTCCTTTTCAACATTTGTAATTTGTGTCCTGTGCCCTTGGACCCTTTTATAAATTATTTATGTTTATTGAGGAGTGATATTTTCGGTTTATTGACATTGAATTTGTTTTCTAAGGTTTTCATCACACGATAGGAATCCCAAGCATGGTAGAAAAGGATTTTTCACAAGCTTCTCTTACGGCACTTTTATGTCCTACTAATGAATTTATCATAATCTCTAATTTTAGTGGGAAAAAAGTGATGCATTTACACTGAAGCCATACATCTTCTATGAATTTATGAATAGACCTACTTGCTTCACATGTTACCTTTAATACTGATAATAAATATTGGACACAACTGTTGTCTACATCAGAAATGCCTTTCCAAAGACATTGATGATATTTATTTAGCATTACACATAAAGAGCCCTGAAGACTTTTATGTAATATATACAGTACTTGTTGATAATTCAATGAACAAAACAGACCCCAAACTCAGTGATTATCTATGAAGATAATACTCCTTGTAAGTGGTAAGTGTGTTATGTATAAGCACATATACCACTCTTCTTGCATCAGAGCAAGTCTCCTAGGGATGGGGAAATTTTTAAAAAGAGGTTTCACTTTAGGTTTAAAGAAATTGGCTGATTTCATGAATAATTTGAAGCTTTATTCATTCTACCAATGTCTAAAATAGTTCTAAAGAGTATTTAAAGTAGTTTTTTTCTGTTAATCTTTCCCTGTATTCCCCTTTTTGGAGATTTCTTATAATTTTAACACAATAATAATTATTGGCCTACTTAATATTCCAGTGCTTTGAGATAGTTGAAAATAATAGAAGATGATTTTATTGTATTTGGAAACTGACAACACATTCCATGCGTGGTTCTTTTGTAGTTATGTGTTTTGATTAGTCCTGTCACTGTTTTTTTTCAAAATGCAATGTCAGCAAACCGAAATGCTTTTTTTTTTTTTTTTTTTTTAAATAAATGACAGAATACTCGTATACTTACTATCACTGTATGCACTCATTGGGTCTAAGGGAGATGTCTGAAGTCCTCTACTTAAATCATTTTATGATACTACTGTTTTCTCTATTTTTGAGGTTTTTTATTATTTAAAAGAAGTTTTGAGAAGATTGTTATAAGTGTTCATTTAATACAAGGAAACTCAGTCCTTGGAAGTATAACCATGTAATTCTATATGAGCACTTGGAGTACTACATGGTTGACCAATATCTAGTTCTTTACTAAAAATAAACCCACCTCTATACATATTTTAAAACTGAATTTGAAGCCTATAAAAGACCAACTGACTTTTTAGTTGTAATGAACTATAAGTGGTTTTGCACGGTTGACACACACAGCCTGTACTGTGGGAGGCCAGGACTTGGCAGAGGATTTATTCTAGGTATACTGCTATATATAAATAGTAGCTTGCTTTGTTTATGTATTCCACACTCAAAGAAACATAATCAGAAATCTTTCTGAGTAATGGTTTTATAAAAACCATCAGTTACATAACTCGCAATAGAACCTGCACTGAATAGTAGTAAAGCAATAAGGCCCAATTCATCCCACAGCACTGATCATCTTTTAATGTCCCACCCTAAGCGAACGGTAAGAAGGCCTCTCTTAAGAAGGGGAGACAGATGGCCCTTAACTACTCAGTGACAGAGGCAGTTACTGTGAGAGACTTATAGGAATCTGTGTCTTCTCCTGGCGAAGGCAAAGCTCTCTCTGAATGTACTGTGTGATGATGCATCATGCATGGACCTTTGGTCAGGGGTGTCATTGGTGAAGTGATTTCAAAAAGTATTCAAAATTTGATATGCTGTTTAGTCACTACAGTGCCCTCAAAGGGCAAAAGTTGCAGCCTTTTTTATATTGCCTGCCAAAATTTGAAGTATTAGAATAAAGTGTGCCATGAGAGAAAAACTTAACAATGAGTTTTGAAAAGTAATGCAAAGAACAAAACTGCAACACTATTTTTTAAAAGATAGGTATCTGAGTTAAAATTACTGAACCTTTATTTTACACCTCCTTAAAAATATATATGAGAACAAGGTACATGCATTATGTGTCACATTACTGGGCAAACTGTTCAAGTATTTTTTTTAAACCTCCCTGTATAGAAAAAAATCATTAAGGATGTAAAAGCCATGCTTGCCTATCTGCTGTATACATGTAATGAAATTGTAGATAAAGTGTAGTGCATTGAAACAAATGAACAAAAAGTAGATACTTTTACTATACAAGGGTGCTGGTGCAGAAAAAAATATATATATTTTTGGAAATGTAGCATTTTATACTTTCAAGTGTTATTAAAAAAAAAAAAAGAACAAAGAAACCCTTTATTTCATTAAATGATTTTTTCTGGTGGTTGTCAAGAACAAAAGACCAAAAGAGCCTTTTTGTCTTTCTTTTTTTATTTTTTAAGTATTGGAATAAGTCTAAAGAAAAGAAAGTGCCTTATTTTCCTTCATGGTCATTAAGTCAAGTGTCTCATAAAAGATCAGCTCCTCTCCCTCAGAATACAAGTTAATGCATGTTACCCAGTCGCCCAGTACATGAAAGAAGATATGAGAGGAGACAAATGAGTTGGTGGTTTGAATTGTATGGTTTTTGCCACGTTACCTTGATGCAAATTTGCCAAATCTGATACTGTGAAAAAATTTGATAACTTTTCTAATGTCTGACTAGTAAGTTTTAAAACATCATCCTTTTAAAAATCGTAATTGAGTACTTTTGGTTATTGCAAACTTCAGTTTTGGCCCAAAGGATTCTGAGATAAAAATTATGTGTGATCTGAACATCAGTTTACAGACAAAATTAGAGCTTTATTTTATTTGGTGAAGGGGGGGGGTGCGTTGGATTTTTTTTCTTAATAATTGGAGATAATAGTATACGTAGCAGACTTTTTCACAGATATGAATCTTTGTGATTTTCATTCTGAAAAGCAGTGTTTTTAAATGACCCAAATTTAATCAGACTTCTTTATATCATACCAGATAACTTGTGTAGTACATCTCTTTGCTGGTTTTAGTAACCTTTTCTCCTCCCCCCCCCCACCTTTTTTTTTTAAGCTTTAAAAGAATGTGAACAGCTAGCATCATTGTGCATGTAAATACTCAACTACATTTCAGTTTAGGTTTCCAATTTCTCATGAGGTTCAGAGTTAGTTTTGTAGTTGAAGCAAATTGTGCATAAAGCCTACATCTAAACACTTCAGTAAATAATCATTAACTGCTCAGTACCAGACATGGCAAATCTCAAGTGACAGTGGATTCCCAGCTTATCAACTCATTCCCTCATACATACCCTTCACAACTTCACAGTCAAAGGTCAGCAGTAAGCTCAGTCAGCACCTTCATGGTGACCTCCTCCGTCATCTTGTCTAACTTGGAAACTGTTTTCAGTTTATTTACTATGCAATAGACATTCATTGTTTTGTATTCAGCTAGCTTTGGTTTAATGTGCCACTGCTTTGTCTTTCTGTTACACATACAGTTGTTTTGATTTATTTACAGTATATGCTGTGCCATTTTGATTTTGATTTTGTTTGGTTGGTTGAATAAATTTGCGACACTCAAACATTTGAGGTGATAATTGCTAAAAATGATACCAGTATTTGATCCAGTTTCATCTCAACTATGTTATACCTGGACATTTTAGATGTTTATCAAAGGTCTTTTATGGGGAAGAAAGTAAATGTATGGAATAATAAATGTATGACATTTATGAGTAATGTTGGCTCTGGACAAACTTTTGAAAACTTAGTTGACAAAATTTTGGATCAACAGAAAAAAAGCATGACTTTTGAAATCTCTGAATGCCTTGGTTCTCAGTATTATCATTCTTTATTGAATTTATTTCTTATTAAAATATGTAGTTTTTAAGACTTTTTTTTCTGACAGTATTATGTAATTTTTTAGTGTGGGTAGATGGGAGTGTCGCTTGTATGTTAGCGTACAGCTGACATGTATTTTTGTCTGTTCTTCAGTATCTGAGTAGTTTCATGCTATGTATGTACCATAACCAACCTATTGCCTATGAGAAACATGTAAGATAATGTATTTACAGCCATTGTTACAAGTTTATAATGTATTTTTCTATCTTGTTTTATATGTATGTTATATAACATTCAAAAGAATTTTTTTCTTGATTGAGAAAAGGATACAAAATGCAAAATCCACAATTTTGATAACTGAAAATTGCCAGTTGTTTTGCAGTACTTTATTATATTGGGTGTCTTGTCTTTTTTGGGCTTTTAGTTAGCTAATGAATGAATACATTAGACACTTTTGGGTTTTAGTTGGGATTTTACATAGCTTGCATTTTAAATCTTTGGTTCTTTGCTGTTTCTATTAACCCATAGCATTATTTTAATAAATGTTATAATACCAACCTACTAACTCTGGAGTATGTCTGTTTATTAACCTTTACATGTTTAATTAAAATAAAAAAATAAAGACAAAAGAATGTAAAGTCTTGAGTTACTGGACTAACCCTGAAGAACGTGACCACAGATAACATAGCGTGACTTGTTTTTATGTTGTTTGTCAGCTGACAATTCCGCACACTACTGTTAAAATGGCTTTGGTTATTCTGGCCTTTTACCTTGGGGGTTGGGGGGAGGTAGGTGCCAGTAGAGATGAGAACAAAGTAGCATTCGTTTGAGGCATTCTTCTAGTCTTGCCACTTGCCTTTCAAGCCTCTGCATTACTAATTCCACACTTTCTTATTTTTCCTTCTCCAAAATAATCACTGCTCACAGCATAAAGAGTAAAAAGATTCATTGTAATGATATATCCTGAGAAACCAGTTTGATTCTTTGTTGAACCATTTCTTCTAATCTCTATAAGTGGGTAATTTTATGGTCACATTATAAAGCAGGGAATCTTATGATACTTTACCTTCATTTAGACTTTTGTTTTAACTTGACATTTTTCCTTTGTAAAGTGTTGAGCTTGTTTAGCCAACTGCTTCTATTAGGTAAAGCCAAAGACAGTTTGGCTGTTTCTCATGATGGTCCAAAGTAAGTGATTAATAATGACAACACAGCCCCACCTCTTTTCTTATCCAACCCTCAGCACATTATTGAGTTTTCCTCAGGTGTTTTTGCTCTCTCACCCACTTCCAAAATGTAGTCAGACTGTAAGGTGTATACAGAAATTTAAGGGGGGAGGACATTGGAATTTGAAAAGTTATATATGATTAATTTCTTGTATGCACATCAATTTAAGAAGATCTCTTAAATATCCTCATGCTTTTCTTGGCTACAACCTGGATAAATTGACCTCTTATGAATTCTTTAGTTTAACTCTTGAGATTTCACAGATTGGTAATTGCCTTTTCTGTGAAACAGTTCTCCTGAATAATAAAAAAAAAAACCTCAGGATGAATTTTTACATTTGTAAATAATGGTTCATTTTTGTAAATTACATTTAATTTATTTAGAGTTCTCAGATTTGGGGCTGAAATGAGTTACATGTTATAGAAGGCATAACTATACCAATATGCTCTTAACCAGTCAGACTATTGAAGTATCAGTGTATTAAATATATGTATATGAAGTCCATAGAATAGTATGTATTCTCTGTGTCTCATATAAGTATATGAGATATATAGAATAGCTATAACAGCTCATTTAATCACAATTGAGATGGTCATTTGGATCATTAAATAGTTATTTCTCTGATGGGAGGGGCAGACAGTATACTATTGTTAGGTAGACAGATCTTTAATATGCTACTGTTTGTAAAAGTTCCCATTGCCATAACAGTTTGTGTATTATTCTGTGAAAATTTGAAGATGTCTGTCAAGCTGCTAGTATACTAGTCACCATTGTACAAAGTCACTTAAATTGATGAAGAATTTCCATGTAATTTACTGTTCTCTGAAGCCTATGAATGCATTTTCATCCCATTTTCAGTTAAGGGTACTTTATCTATAATTATATTGTCACCTTTTATATTAGAAAAGTTGTAAAAGACAGTTTTAAAAGGTGAGAATAACTACAAATCACATTTTTATACAGATTGCAATAGTATTAAACATAAAACTATCAAATTTCTAGAATGGTAAAATTCTAAAGTTTTATACTGTTATTTGACAAAACATTGAAAGTTGAGCTTTCCATCAACAAGATGATGAAATTAATGTACTTATGTAAAGCATTTTTTTTCCCCCTTTAGTCAAAATGTCAGGAAAAACGTAGCATTAAAAGTAGGTATTTGCATACGACCTAGTGCAGTACTGTAGTGGTA